TTCAGAACTTCTGCCTAATATTCTCTCTCAGACGAGGGTCAAATTTTCAAGAAACTCTGAGTAAGTCTGTTTTCTCAAACTATAAAAAACAAAAACAAAAAACTGTACATACATAGATATATATATATATATATATATATATATATATAATAGTACCTGACGAGTTGCCGAGAATGCGAAGGGAAGAATTGGAGTTTGGATTTTCTCTCAGCCTCTTGGAATTCTCTCCCCGAATCACTTGCAGCTGCTGCTGCTGCTGTCGTTGTTGATGATGTTCTTGCTGCTGCTGTTGTTGCTGCTGCTGCTGCAAAGCCATGAGCTGTTGCTGCCGCTCGCGGCGCTTCGACGCCGGAACCCACGTGCTCTTCACGTGGGTCGGGCAGTCGAACCCTCGGCTCTTGCAGCAAGTCCGGCACCTCATGTGAATGCAATCTTTCTTGGCTTGGTTTCCGCAGTCTTGACAGCTGGCGGTTCCTCCTCCGCTTCCACCTGCGCCTCCGCCGGAGGACGACCTCATCATCATCAACGCGGCGGCCGACCGCGACGATGACGTGTCATCCGAGCCCCTGCTGCTGGGCCCCACGCCTAGAGCGGCAGCGGATGCGTAGAGATCTTGATGGTGATGGGGGTGGTGGTGGAAGAGGCGTGGTGGCTGGGTTTGGAGCTGGAGGAGCTGCTCTTGTTGCTGCCATAGCTCGAACCCTTTGTACGGCTGAGCTGCCACGTCCTCATTCTTGTACCAGAACGTCTCCGGAGCAATTTGATGATCAGGTGGGGGTGGGTTATTGCTGTTATGGTGGTCTTGATCTTGGTGGTTGTTGTTGCCGCCTCTGCCTAACGAGAAAAAACCAGCCATTGCTGCCCCAATTGTGACCGAAAATCCATATCAAAATCAAGCTCCACTCTCAATTCTGAACCCAATTTCACACCCAATTCCCTGATGGGTATTTACTGTTGTGCTTAAAGTTTTAATCTTTATGTAATCTGTGAAGTTTGTGTGAGTATATGAGAGTTTTGGGTGTGCTTAGTGTTTGTTGGGTTTGGAGAAAATGGGTGAAAATTTACAGAGAGAGAGACAGACGTTAGGCTCTGTTTGGCAGCGTTAATCGCGCTTTTAATTCCCTTCCCTTCTCTTCTTCACTGTGCTGTGCTGTGCTGTGTTCGTCTGTAAATTTCAAAGCATTTAAGTCTCTCTCTCTCTCTCACTGCTACGCCGCCATGCCTCTCTTTCTCTCTTTCTCTGTGTCTGCACTGCACAAGCTGCTCACACAAATTTAAGTTTCTCTTTCTCTCTCTCTCTCTCTCTCTCTCTCTCTCTCTCTCCCTCCCTCCCTCTCTGATTTGTTTGCAGGTGATGAGCTTTTTAGCTCTGAGAGCAGTGCCTCTTGTTTCTCTCTCTCTCTCTCTGTGACTGACTGTATAACATAACACCTTTCTCTTTTCGTTAGCTATGGATGTCATAATCTCATCTCAAATGGAAGAAAGAATGATCAATCACTGTTAAATTCGCATGCTCATCCAACGGTCAATTCCATCGATACGTGTCGTCTCGCCAGCTTTTTGCTCCTTCGTCCTTTTTGCACCGGAAAACCCGCCACTTTTCTTTAATGACAGACCCTTATTTTTATTTCCCCTTATTTTTAATTTATTTATTTCTGCTCCAAATATTATTTTTTAAACACACTCCAAAACTCACTTGTATTCACCATTAATATTCGGCACGTAAATAATTAACACTTTTTTTATCCGACTTTTATTCCACCTTTCCTTTTCACTTCACATGACCAAATTGTTTATCTTTTTTTTTTTTTTTTGGGTGAAAATTATGTTGGTCATTACACCAAGCTTTAGCTGTAAAGCAAAATTCTCCTCCACTCTTTTACGGCCACTTGTCTGCATAGGGCAATTTAGTAAATTCAAATCTTATTTATCCAGTAAATGTTACGTTACTAATATAAAATGAGATGGTTTTTCTTTTGAGAAAAGGATACGTAGAGGATGGATCGCGGATATAAAGAAGTTAATATACTGTATTAGCCAATTAACCTAACTCACGTTTGTTACATTGATGTGCATATTAAAGCCTGGTACAAAGTTTTAATATTTTTTAACTTATCAATAACAGTATTCAGGGGTCAGCAATACTTTAGATTATTTTTTACTATTTGTTTATTGAAGTAGAGAGATTTGGGCAGTGAAAAAGAGGCGTATTTTGTCGTATTTCTAGAATATAAGCATGTTGTTTGCATCTATTGCGGTAACATAGGGGAACACAGCGCCACCTCCTCGTACTTTTTTTTTTTTAAATTACCCCTTTTAATAATTTAATTTGTGTTTTATTTTTCTCCCAAAATTTAATTAAACTAATTTCGGCATATTCCAAACTTTTATTAATGAATAGTTAGTCACTGTGGGACCATATGATCTGCAGTTGACTATTTGAATCAAGGGGTAGTTTCGTCTTTTAATGCAATAAACAAACGGCGTTAAAGGTTAGTTTTACGGGCTCCGCCGCACCGCTGGACGACGCGCCGTTCCAATGGAGTAGTAGTAAATAATTTATGCAGCTTCATAGTCACTCAAAATCAAAATAGTGAAACGTTGTGGGTTTGGGTCGTTTTACGACCCTACCAATTACCAAAAGTTTGTCCACGTCATGGGGGACCCAACATTTTGTTGGGCCCAGAAGCTGACCTGGCATGGCTCTAGTGGGACATGAGTCGGCCAAGTGCAAAGCTTCCTCGTACAATATTCTGTCTCCCCCCAAAGTGTGTGTGTGTGTTTATCTTTTATATTTTTCATAATAACATCTGGAAAAATTTAAATGAAAAATGAATTGGAGTTTTGAATTTCTAATTTTCTTTTTGTAAGTTTGTGTCTACCAATTTCGGTCGACGGCCGAAATGAATGTTTATCGGCCCATGGTTGGGAACTGCACCACCCAGTCACATCAAGCCACGTCATAAGAACGTGAATGGCATCTTCGTCAGTTTGCGAAAATATTAATAATAAAAAAATGGTCTCTTCCTTTTTATTTTCTGTTTATTTGGTAAATTATTAGATTTAGGGTGTCAAATTGGACATAGACTTCTCATGGTTCCTGTTGAAAATGTTGAGGACAAGCTGCTCTCTCACCTCTCACTCACTCAATAAAATCTTAACCATCCAAAAATATACGTAACTAGAATTTTGGCATCACGAGTTGGAGGTGGCTGAATGCTTTTTGTTGATAGAAAACTGGACCACCCTCAGTTCTCAAAGTCAGATATTTATGTGGGAGGCCATCACTTCTTTTATTTGTACTTGAAACTTCAACTCAACTAGGGTTTTTTTTTCTTTTTTGTTAGATTTTGCAAACTGAATTTCGTGGAAGTTGGACAAATTAATTCGTCCAATCACTCATTCATACGATAAAATCATATGTATAGTACAATGTCACTTCTTATTTTTAGGACATTTCCTGTTGAAAGGGGTTTATAATATGCTAAACTCACACACACAACACGGATGTTATGACTCGAATCCAGAATCTTGATTGGACGAGCAATTACTCTAAATCACTACACAAGTTGGTCCTTTGCTCTACTAGTGGGTCTTATAGTGTCACATTAAATTGTTCTTTATTGGGTACTATGCAATTACTAACACAATCTGCTAAACTCACACACACAACATGGATGTTATGACCTGAATCCAGAATCTTGATTGGACGAGCAATTACTCCAAATCACTACACAAGTTGGTCCTTTGCTCTACTAGTGGGTCCTATAGTGTCATATTAAATTGTTCTTTATTGGGTACTATGCAATTACTAACGCAATTGTTTTTTATACAAGCAATACTACATGGGGGAAGATTCGAACACAGAAATTCGGGTGCACATACAACTTAAAACTACAAACAACACAATCCATAACTAGGTGAGCAGGGAAAAATAAATTTGAAGTGTATAATAAAAGCACAAGTATTGTTGTCATCCAAGTTGCCAAAAGTAACAAGGGTAACAAGAATTTTATATAAAATCGAACTCATAGCATATGAGATTGAGACTGAGAGATTGGAATTGAAAGAAATGTCAAGGTAAATTAATAAGGGGTCATTGTCAACTTTTGAAATTACAGCTGGCTAACTACTACGACTTACTTTACCTGTTGGAAGGACCGAATTCAGAAAAGTTCCTAGATATAAATATAGAGCATTACATGGTTTTCCAATCACTTGAGTTTGTTTATGTGAATAATATATCATATGGACTTCTTGTTGCTACAACTTTGCATGCTCATGCTTATAATGTTTGATGACATACACCACTAAGCAAGTCTTTTTTCTTTTTTTTTGTTCTTTTAAATTTATTTATAAATATTTGTTACTTAACATTGTTTTGCTGCTTTTGTCTGTATAATTAATCGTATATTAATAATCACATCTCTCGCATAAGTGAAATTTGTTCTTATAAACGAGAATCTCGTTCGTCGATTCAGAATGCATGTGAGGAATAAATACATATATGATTACTTTTTGTGAACATAAATAGAAAAGCATGGAAATGGGTCTAGATTCATGAATCTTGCATGGGTTGTCATTGACATTTAAGGTCAAAACAAAATCCTTTTAGACCTACTAAATCCTAATTAATTAGTAGAAGGGGGTTTGCGAAAGCGAAGTATGTGATTCAATATTTAATACAAATTGGTTAAGATCTAATTTGTATACATGTTATTAACTTATTGGAAGGAGCCGAGGAAGAGGAGAAGGAAAACGAACAAAACAAAAAACAAATACAATATCACTAGTTTTGTTTTTAGTCTTATGGAAAAAAAATATATATATATATATATGAAATCATGTGAAGAATGCCTATATATTCATTATTTAAAAAGAAAAAGTGCAAACTAGTTTTTAAAATCAACCTTATTTTTTAAAGCAACTTAAAAGTGTTTTTAGTTTGCGCTCATTTTTCATTCACTAATTTTACATAACTGCACATGAAATGCACTCTAATTAGCAAAACTCAGTATTTGGGACCCCGACTTGGACCCGGCTGCCCGATTATTGCGTTTAGCCACGGACCCAGTCCAAACCTTGGGACCTCCATATCCAAAATTTGCAAAAAAAAAAATCATCATGATTTCAAAAAGTTCACCAAAAAATAATACAAACTCTTTGTAGCATACATTTTCATTCAATAATTTCGAATTCACAAGTTGACCCTAAAATATTCAATTTATAAGTTCCACATAAAACAAAAAATTGAAATCAGTTACCAAACAAATTTGTAGTGTTTAAAAACTAAAAATTGAAAACTGAAATTGTTATCAATTTAGTTTTAAACTTTGAGTACTGATTTTCCCACTCCCTTTTTATTCACTTACACTCCATTTTTTTAAAATTGTATGTTCTTCTCCCTCCTCTTTTGTTCACTTACACTCCCTTTTATTTTATAATAAAAAATATTTTATTTTTTTAAAATTGTATGTTCTTCTCCCTCCTCTTTTGTTCACTTACACTCCCTTTTATCTTATAATAAAAAATATTTTAAAAAAATAAAAATGTATGTGGATTAAAGGGGAGCGGGAAAATCACCTCCTTAAATTTTTAGTCAATAGAAAACAAACTAGTTGTGTTGTGTACATCATGAAGACAAACTAGTTGTGTACATCATGAAGATATAGTTGAAGTTTTCTGTCTTGTGTGGCACGCGCATTAAGTTACCCAAATAAAAGGGTGGGTGAAAAAAAAACAAAGAAAAAAAAAGGAAAAAGGGAGGCTTTATTTATTATTAGTTATGTTTTTGTTGTGTTGTTGGTTTTGGGTTTTTTGGGTTTGTGTGGTGGGAAGGAAGGAAGGAAGGAAGAGAAGTGAATAATGATGGATGTGTGCGAGTCCCAATAATTGTGTGTACCTGCAGTGGTGTGTCTGTCTGTCTGTCATTCTCGAGCCCTGTGTTTGTTCCCATGGTTGACTACCACCTTAGCTACTTTATGCTTCATTTCCATCCTTTTCCTTTTTCCTTTGCTTGCTTCATGTATAACTTACAAAACAAGAGAGAGAAACTTTTTCTTTCCTTCTCTACAAAATCCACAGAGAAGAGAGAGAGAGAGAAAGAGGATACTTACTGTGTCAACTGTATCGTAGTAGAAGCCAACAAAACAAAACGCGTTTATTTAGTTTAATGCGTCATTTACGAATAAATAAAGTTCAGAATGAATCTAGATTGAAAACAAATAGATCACCATCATAATAATTGGTATCTCTCGTATTACTCTAATTCCGACTATTGGAAGTGAAATATTATTGAAAGAGGTATTTAAATAGAAGGAAGGGAATTAAGGGTAACCCCCAAAAAAATACCACAAATCCCAAGGTTAACTAACCCCCTCCCCTCCTTCTTGGGTCACAAGCAAGCAACGTTATGCTATTGATTATAGGG